ATCTGAGCGTAACGGCGTTCAGTCTCGGTTAGTACTCGGGAAGCATAGGCAATGACAGCGTAGCGACCGTCGTCTTGCTGCTGACGTAGGACAGCGCCCAGGCCATACGAGGAGGCATCCGCCGTGACTTTAGTTGGTCTCTTCGGGGAGTACATCGCGAGGACTGGATCTGATGAGAGTAGTCTTTTCCAGTTTGAGAATGCTTTTTCCTGCGCGGTCTCCCAGACGAACTCTTGCTTTGATGACAAGATGCTTGACAGTGGTTGTAGCAACTCCGCCATGTTAGGTACAAAACGACCCAAGTAGGTGGCCATGCCCATCAGCCGTCGGAGTTCAGTCTTGGAGGTTGGCCTCGGCATCTCAGTGACTGCTTTTATCTTGTTCTCGTCAGGTCGAACGTGGTTGTTCTCGATGATGTGCCCCAAGTACTGTATCTTCGTGACGCCGAACTGGCATTTGTCTCTGTTCAGGGTCACGCCTGCGTCTCGAACTCGCTCTAGAGTAGCGCGGAGTCGTTGCTCGTGCTGTTCCTTCGTTGATCCCCAGACAAGGATATCGTCCATGTGGCAAGCAACACCTTCAAGACCCTGGAGAATGTCGCTCATGCGCCGTTGGAAGTGTTCCGAGGCAGAGCAGATACCAAATGGTAGGCGATTGAAGCAAAAGCGACCGAAGGGCGTGATGAAAGTGGTCAGCGCTTTACTCTTCTCGCTTAAAGGAATCTGCCAAAATTCTGACGTGGCATCCATTTTTGAGAACCAGGTGGCTCCTTGCAGCGTCCCAAGGGTGTGTTCCACCGCCGGAATGGGATGCCATTCACGTAGGACGAACTTATTGAGCTCTGTGTAGTCTACACAGATCCTCAGTGCTCCTGACGGTTTGGGTACCACCACCATTGGAGCACACCAAGAGGTGGGTTCTGTTACGGGGTTGATGATGCCGATTTCTTGCATCCGTAGAAGCTCCTCTTTTGTCTTCTCATACAGAGGTAGAGGCACCCGACGAGGAGACGTGAGAGCATGTGGAGTGGCGTCAGGTCGAAGCAGTATGTCACACTCCTGTTGTAACTTGCCAAGACCTTGGAAGACCTCAGGGAAGTCTTTGTCGACGTTCAACACCGAAACAGAGTTGAGGGAGCTGAACAGTCCCAAGCGATTGATGGCTGGCTTGCCAAGAAGAGCGGTGCGGAGTAGCGGAAGGATGTAAACGTCTTCAACGCTTTCTCGGCCGTTCAACTTGAAATGGAGTTTGGCCACCCCCGAGATGCAAAGAGCTTTTCCATCAGGTCCCTGAAGACGACGCGTTGTGGGGTTTAGAGGGATATGCTTGAAATGCTGATGGTACTGTCGTTCAGGAATGACATTCTCGTCCGCCCCCGTGTCGATCATGAAGATCAGTATTTTCGCTTCTACTTGCGGAGCGACTTCCCAGGTTGACGAGGCAGTTTCACCCACCAAACCAAGGAATCCTGGCTCTTTTTCGATTGTCTGCAGCATTTGCACCGACCGGCAAACAGTCGCATAGTGGCCTTTCTTTCTGCACTTTTGGCACGTGCCACTCTTTGCTGGACAGAGAGCTCGCGCGTGCCGCTCTTTACCGCACCAGCCACATGAGCGGGCTTGATTTTTCTTGCCGCTGCCTTTTGTGGGTTGATGCTGAGTCTTAGACGGTGGCTTGGCGTCGGAGTCGTGTTTAGCAAACTTGTTCTTTCTCACGTGTAGTGCATCCACGGCTGCAGTTTCTTTGGGATGGCCTTGACGGAGTTCTGCCTGTTGCAGCTGAACAGACTCGTTCTGACGCGCAACGGTGAGTGCCTTCAACAGATTGAGGTCGGGGTCTAACTGAAGAGTTTGCGACACCTTGTGATTCTTGAGGCCTACGACTAGCCTGTCTCGGATCAGTTCCTCGCGGAGTTCTCCGAAGTTGCAGGTGTCCGCTAGGGCATGGAGGGCTGTAGCAAAATCTTCGACGGACTCACCGTCCAGCTGGACTCTGGTGTTGAATTTCGCCCGTTCGAAGATGACGTTTCTTTGAGGAATGAAGTAGTTGTCATAGCTCTTGAGCACCACGTCGAAGTTTTTCTGCTCATCGGACGTCAACTTGAACGTGTTGAAAATGTCCTCTGCCTGGGGGCCCATGAGGTACACCAGCGTGTCGACTTGACTCTCCCTTGGACGGTCGCAGAGTCCCGAAGCAGCGCGGTAGCGCAGGAACCGCTTCTTCCATTGAGGCCAGTCTGACGGCGATGAAATCGTGAATGGGTCAGGCGGCGTAATCTGGAACGAAGTCACGTTCGCTGGCGTTTGGCTTGGACGTTCCATCCGGTTACGGGGAGTCAGGTCTGTCGGCAGATGAAGAGCATAGGTCCGTAGTGAAGGCCGTAGAGGTTAAAGTCAGGTTAAGGCTTCAGGGCAAGGGCCCTTAGGGTGTGCTGACGTGTCGTTCGGGAGGAGAGCAGTGGTCAGCACATCCCACTTCTGACACCATGTTTGATAGAATGTCCAGCGCAGCGCGATGCGCGAGGCGCGTGCTCTTTAATTCCTTTTCCTTTACAAGCTGTACATATATACAACGAGACTACAGCGCTATATAAGAGTCTGTGCCTCACACTCAGAAAACTCTTGTTTCACTTTTTGAGATACATATTATTACCGTCGACTTTATTGAATCAAAGCGTCGGCTGCTTCAACACAAGATGGACAAAATAATATATTATTTAGTTGATGTAACGCAGCAGCAACTGCTTTTCAAAAATCACTTAACTTTTTCTTTTGATACACATCCCGGCCCTTGCTAAAGAGGCGCTCAACGGGTGCGCTGGATGTCAGTGCAGTATTCAGCCGTAAAAGAGCAGCTTTCCGTATGGTGGGAAGGTCGTTGAGGCTGGAGAGCGCTGTCGACGCTTCAGCCTTTCATCGTTCCGTCTTCATGCCCAGCGGCAGTTGTATAGAGATAAATATTCAAACTCATCCCGAGGTGCTTGTGAAGGTTGGAGGAAGAGAACCTCCCGGCTGCGTATACTTTTTTGCAGTGTTTGCCGCCAGCGGTGGAATTATCGCCACTATATTCGACAATGTCAAAGTGCACTTCATATTCGGGCCACCGTAACATCTGCTGCTCGTCACTCATGACAGCCTCTCGTTTGAGCCAATAAAAAACATCAATAAACATTCGCCAATAACAAAAATAAAAATCTTTGAAAAAAGAGAAACACCGATTTCTAACTACATTATTTTTCTACCAATGTTGTGTTTGTTTTCACTGAAAAAGTCATACACAAACTTGTGTCAAACACATTATCTTACCAGAAATCATGCACTTTGCCTGTCTTTTTTTTCTGACCTACATGGTTTCGGACTCTCGGAGGACAGTAGCTTTGTTCAACTTTTTTTCAAGGTCAGCGGTCCTCCTGGACCGCCGAGCTTGAAGATCACTGTCAGTGGCCCGAGAGGCCAGTCACAGCTGGCCAGTACTGTCCCAAGCATTGTTGGACGTTTTGGGGCTTCCCGTGTCTAGCGCAAATGTTGAGCGGACACTCTCGAAATTGTACGTCGTCAACAGGAAGGAGCGAGCGTCATTGACACACACGAACCAAGGAATATATGCTTGAATAAACTGCAATAATCGAGTGGGAAAAGGATTGCGTAAAATATGTAAATACAATTTGGACTGTTTTTCGTCTCCAGTGGTAGTTTACATTCGCAATTACCCTCCCGATAATAACCGTTTTTAGCGTCTGGACGAGAGAATTCACCGAAAAGCACCGGTATTGGTGAAATAAATAAACACCGACAAAAACGGGGAGCGGAGAAAAGCTCACCGGAGATAAGCTCACCGGAGATAAGCTCACCGGAGAAAAGCTCACCGGAGAAAAGCTCACCGGAAAAGTGTCAAATGCGGAGAAAAGCTCACTTAGATTTTGGTGCAAGTAAAAAAGTTCACTAAGACTGCCAGAAATAATCATTATTCCTACTTTTTTTCTTTTTTTTTTGCCGAAACTGAATGAAACGACAAAAAAACTTTTGGTTTGTTGCGTTTTTATGTAAGAGAGAGTAAAAGCGCTAAAAACAACGGACAAGTTAAAGAGACGTACAACACAGAGCGCTACTTGCAACTGAAGTTTATTCCCAGGAAACACACATATATACACACCGTGAAATCGCGACATGTACTTTAGAAATGCGACATCACCCCCTCATCGCCATCTCAGAGCCAAACAGGGCTATAGATGGGGCGCTCAAAAACGCCATCTCAGAGCCAAACATCAAAAACGCCATCTCAGAGCCAAACATCGCCCCATCTATAGCCCTGTTTGGCTCTGAGATGGCGTTTTTGAAATCTTTTGTAAAATAGATAGCGGACAGACGAGCGATGAGGGGGTGATGTCGCATTTCTAAAGTACATGTCGCGATTTCACGGTGTGTATATATGTGTGTTTCCTGGGAATAAACTTCAGTTGCAAGTAGCGCTCTGTGTTGTACGTTTTAGCGCTTTTACCCTCTCTTACATGGTTCTTCTGTCCTTTTTATGTATAACATCCTTCTGACTGGCGCTGTAGCTGAAGACCTTGACATTGTAGGGCATTCCTATTGTTTCCCATTTTTTTTCTGGGAACAAGTATTTCTCCGCTCTCTTTGTGAGAAATACAGTCTGCTTTTTTATTGGTCAGAAGCTGTATGGTTACGCAAGAGGAGCTAAAGGAAATTGCATATATAAACAGCACCTCCTATCAAGTGACCAGTCCTGCCTTCCTTGTGTCATGGAGGTCATTCTGACCAATAAGGGAAAGAAGAAAGTGCTTCTAGATGGGTACGAATATTGTATGAAAGTTACAAGAAACGACTGGATACGCTGGCAGTGCCGGTACCAACGAACAGGTTTCTGCAAGGGAGCCATCACCACCAATCTTGATGTAAGTACGAAATATCATACTTTTCGCTTGTGTGCAAGTTTTGCAGTAATGTTTCACTTTATTTGCACAAGCGTTTTTACGTAAAACCTTCTTTCGTTTTTACATTTAGAGTTACATATACATTATTGCTGACACAAATTTTTGTCATTTTTAAACGCAGATTACCCGCTTTTGGTCAGTGCAGGAGCACAATCATGCAAACAATCATGGCCTTTCTGATGTCACCAAACTAAGGAGCCAGCTAAAAAGGAAAGCTGTAGAGACCGCAGAACCTCCTAGCCGTCTGCTTGCTCAGGCTTTGAGCAATTCAACAACATCCGTGCGCGAAAGCATCGGTAGCCTCGAGACTATTCGTCGTGACCTGCGCCAGCAAAGAAGTAAGGTGCGTCCGCCGGAACCCCAGACCACTGCTGATATTCAATTACGAGATACCTGGACAATGACCGGAGGGCCGGAAAAGCAACCGTTTTTGATCTATGACAACGGGCCGGAGAGGCGAGACCGCATGCTCGTTTTTGCAAGCCACGAACAGCTGCGGGCACTATCAACAAGCCGAACCTGGTACATGGATGGAACATTCTCGGTGTGCCCAAGACTGTTTAAACAGTTGTACGTTATGAGGTGTACAGCTGGGGAGAGCACCGTGGCGTGCGTTTATGCTCTGCTCCCAGGCAAAACCTTCTCCATATACGAAGAGCTTTTTCAAGCGATTTTGGACACGTGTGAAGCGAACGGTTATGCTCCATACCCTGAGATCATCATTAGCGACTATGAGATGGCCGCCATAAGAGCGTCGAAAGCGGTCTTCGGAGAAGATGTCACCACGAAAGGCTGCTTCTTTCACCTCTGCCAGAGTACCCACCGCAAGGTAACGTTACTCCCAAAATAATCTTGAAAAGAAATATGGACGCCTGTAGTACCAACCATCTATGGCCAACCAACATAAAACCTATGATATGACATCAAAAACAAAGAAAAGGCATTTGGCTAATTTTGAAGTGCTTAGCTCCCCAGTACCAAGATATAGCCTCTACGTCAAACTCAATTAATGCAACCGCATCAGGATCTCATCGTATCTCTTTTTGTTCTATTCTTTTTCAAGGTACGCGAGCTGGGCCTCATCAGCAGGTACAAGACGGACGACAGGTTCAAGAAGATGTGTGGAATGCTAGACGGCCTCGCATTCCTCCCTCCCGACCTTGTTCCAGTTGGGCTGGACTACATCCGTGGTCAGGCTCCAACAGACCTCGATGACCTCATCGACTATTTTGACGCGACGTATGTAAACGGAACGTTCCGAGCAGTGTCATCGAGAGTAGCCGGTGGCGCATTAACCACAACGATGCGCCGACGACGCCCCGAGTTTCCGCCGACAGTGTGGAACGTGTTAGAAGCCACATTAAACAACGAAGACCGCACAAATAACGCATGCGAAGGATGGAACAGCGGGTTTAAGAAGCTTGTCGGGCACAGCCAGCCCAGTATATGGAAGCTGATCGACTGCTTGCAACAAGATCAAGCCCTATCGGAGGTAATGCTGCTGCAAATAAGCCGTGGGGAACCGCCGACGAAGAAGACCAAAAGGGCGACAAGGCGCCTACAGGACCGCCTCAGGAACATCTGCCTGGACTATCTTGAGCACAAACAAGTTCCAGCCCTTCTGGAAGCGGTCGGAAATTGCATTCGATTCTAACGTGCGTGTATGAAAAAAATAATTCATGTTTGAGAGAAAATAAACGCAAATCATTCAATTTATGACTCCTCTGTGCAAAATCACTTTCGCTCTTTAATGCGGAAATAATATGTGGAAGTGAAAATAGACGAGTCACTCATTGAGCGTGGTGAGCTTTTCTCCGCCTTCTCCATTGGTCCGGTGAGCTTTTCTCCGGTGAGCTTTTCTCCGGTGAGCTTTTCTCCGGTGAGCTTCTCTCCGGTGAGCTTTTCTCCGGTGAGCTTTTCTCCGGGAATCAACAAAAACATCCGCCAAGTTTGTCATAAATAAACACCGAAAAGTATACACCCTAGATATAAATCAATACAATGAGATAAAACTCTGACTGCAGACAACACTTTTGAATAAAACTTCAAAACTGTACAGGGCGCAAAATCGGCTATGGATCACGCTTTTACATGTAGCCACACCCCCTCCTGTTATTTTTATGTCCCTTTTCAAGCGCTCAGTTGTGGCGACGCACACGCTGTAAAAACCGCCAAAAGTGAGGTGTCGCTTCAATGTACATCTCGTTCGGAATATTCCACTCTGACATCAAAAGATTTGTTATTTAAAACTTTCCAATGGTATATCTCGAAGCTGCTACGCTATCCACTCCCGGAGGCTCATTAGCGGATAAAACGAGTGGTTCCTCACATTCCTCATCGCATAGAACTCGGTTTGCACCCCCCTATATCAGATGCGAAGAAAGCAACCCACAACTCGTAATGGTACTCGTCTCGACTCATTCTTGGCAGACGTTGACTCATGTGCTCAGTGTTTCCTCTCCTACACGCGTCAGTAACCACAAGGATGTGTTTTGTGTGATAGCGCAGATAGAAAGTGGATAGGGATAAGATTGTGCACAACAACGCTCAGTAGCGGTTATTGTTGTCCCTTCTTCACGTGCTGTGGCGAAAAGCTGCGTATTTTAACACTGAATGTGTTTTTATCAACCGAAATCTATGAGAACATCGTCACGAAGAACTGTGACGAAGAACTGTGACATTACATTACGTCGTTACGTCATGTGACATACAATGATTTCACGTAACAGTGTATCGCGATGCAACACCCTGACGGCATGACGTCATGTGACATTGTGGCGTCACGCGTGACATCATACTGTTACGTGACGTAACGACATCACATGATACCCTGACACCGTGTGATGTCACAATCATATATGGCGTCTTGATGTCGCGCGAAGTCACGTAGACATAGCCTGTGTCCAGGTTCATCACAACGCGTTCTGTGCTCTTTGGTGTTTGTCAGCATGATCAAGAGAGTGCATCTTTTTTTTATTTTCTCACCGGCAAACAATGAATGAATTGTGTCCTCAGACGCGGCCGTATCTTTTATTGACTCCTGCTCAAGCGACATCGTTTGAATTGGTCTACGAGGCTCCATGGGGCTTGAACACTGGCCCCTGATGTCGAGCTCAAGGTCGACCCGTTAGGTGCCACAGGCACCGCGTCGACAGTCTCGGAAGGAAGCGGCCCACTTTCGGCTCGCTCTTGTCGACCAACGTGAGCTTCATGCCGTCTCCTGAAAAACAAAAAGGAATTGTGTTGTGAGGATGTCTAGACTGGTCTAGACAGCAAGAAGTGAGTCAGCCCAACACCACCTAGACAGAAGGACCCCGCATGGACTCTTCTCCCTCTATGAAACGTCATCAGAGCCGGATCGCGCTAACTCGGCTATTGGGCCCGAGCCCGACCTTCGACGCGCTGATTGGACAAGAGCCCCAGCCAAATACTGACACAGCATTCGCATGCTCAATCTCACGACTCGATCGAACTGACTCTGATGACGCGTGCGGAGGCCTGCAGTCTAGGTGGGGTTGGTCAACCCCAAGGGGCTGACTAGCTCAACTTCTGTAAATGAGAAATTTACCCAGTGGAATATTTCTGCTAGCTCGGAAACCTTCGCGTGCACCAGGCATTTGTAGGGATATACGACAGCACGCCGGTATGATGTTCATCCAGATTGAAAGAGTGCTTCTATGCAGGCACATCGAATGAAGTAAGAGACTGAATTGTAAGCTGCTCTTTGTAGTGATAACGGCCCTGGTCCGGGGGGGGGGGGGGGGGGGGTGTTGACACTTTAATATATTGTGGTGCTTATGGACATCCCACGTTGCCAAACGTCCGCAGTTTATTGCTTCTGCTGTCAGAATAAGGTATCTAGACAACCCCCATGCTTTTTTTTCAGATCATGGCCCTCCTTATATATATCACACTTGCAGCCGCAGTGTAACCTTGCGACATGTTGCCCCCCCCCCCCCCCCTTCCCCCTGCCGCTTTAAGAAATCCTTACCAAACAGGTTCCGAATCCGTCCCTCCGGCATAGGTCTGGGATTGCCTGAAACAACAATACATGTTACAACCTAAAAGGCAGTTCAGTATGTTCACACTTAAAACCTTATAACAACTCAAGTTTGCTGCCCTAGTTGTTACCCATTGAAAAATAGTAATAATAGTAATAAAGAAAATAAGAAATCACCAGTTGAAAATAGTACGTGTTGGTCCATTTTTCAGGGAGGAAACCATTTGTTTGAGCTCTAGCGAGGTCAGTATTATTGTTATTTGTATTAAAATAATAAAAATCAATCCTTTGAAGACTCTCCCATTCTCGAAGCTTGGATGTTTGGAAAGGAAACCTTTTGCTAAGAGTACCCCATCTCGCGTTTCTATAACTTACTCTTTTAGCGAAGAAGCAGAGCTTCTTCGCTTAAAGCGGAGCGAAGTTTCTGGGAACAACCTACGCCTTTCACCGGCAGCGTGGGCTCTACGCGCGTTGTTAGTCAAGCCCCTAAATATAAAGGTAATTGTGTTCTTTGTATGTATATACAACCGGAAGTCAGTCAGCCCCAATGGTGTCTCAGCTGTACATGAGAAATTTAGCCAGTGCAGTAAAAAAAAATGGGTTGTGTGTGTGTTTATACAGCCTATACTTGGTCTGCCTCACAGGGGCGACGAGTCTCCCAACTGTATATGAGCAATTTAGCCAGTGCGGTACAGCCGCTAGCCTGGGGTCTTTAACGTGCATCACGCAGTAGTGATACACGACCGCACGCCGGTACGATGCTCATCCAGATCGAAGCGGGCAGGGGTGGAGCTCGAACCCAGGATCCCTGGGTTCTGCAGCGCGAGCTTTCGCTCCACGTGCTCCGAGCTGGTGTGCGCTAGACCACTCGGCCACCGATCCCCCCCGCCAGTGCAGTACAACCGCTATATTCTGTTTTTCCTTGTGTTGTACCGCAGGAAAGGCTACAAGCGCGAGCTCCTTGCCCTAGGGCACATCTCGGCGGCACAAGCTCTCGTGCACCAAGGGTATACTACCAACGCTATGAGCTCGCGCTTCTAGCCTTCGCTGCGGTACAACATAAAGTGAAACGGAGCATAGCCTGGGGTAGGATGCCTCAATGTCCTTCTGTTTAAGGTGAGGCCTTCTTTGTAGTACCCGATGCCGACAGCACACGCTCACGGGTAAAATACAAAGAAATTGTAGAAAACAAAATGTCGGTTTAGTACAGTCGGCGCCACAAACGCGTGCATGGACACGATCTTTCAGGCGCTTCTGAACAAAAAAGAAAAATAAACGTGTAGGAGAAAATGGCACGATGTCTCCGCCCCAACCAAAGCGTACATGAAGGCACCCTAGCCTGGGGTATTTAACGTGTACCACGCAGTATAGTGATATACGACCACACGCCGGTACGATTCTCATCGAGATGGAAACGGGCAAGGGTAAGGATTGAACCGAGGATCGCTGGGCTCTGCAGCGCGAGCTCTCGCACCACGCACTCAGAGCTGGTGTGCGCTAGCATACACGGGCACACGTATACCCCTGACTCGGGCACCCTTAACCGTGGTTAACTCAGCTTTAACTGCTGCTACATGGCACCACAGTTGCCGCGATATACTCTCGGACAGCTATATCAGAAGAAGTGAAGAGCGCGCGTGCACTGCTTTGATGGGTGCTCAAGATGTTCAAGCGCATGTTGTTGTTGTTGAAGACATTTATTGAGGTGAAAATTTCACCAGTCAATTTGTTGGAGCAAGTTTAAAAACGGATGCTCGCCCATAGCTTTGACTGCACAACCGCAGTATGTTGTCCGCAAGTATTGTGCGCTAACTGTGGCTTAGCGTAACTGCAGTTAAGTGTGCCCGTGTAACAAGGGTATCAGTCACCAATCCCCACTCCCAAGCTTTATGCGATTTTTTGTTTTGTTTTACAAGTAGTGTCAACCAACAATACTTGATCAAAGTGACATGAAAAGCTTCCTAGAACGCGAAGCGCCCTTTGTTGACTCCTGCGCTCGGTGACATGCGCTACGTGATCACCACACCTATGGACAGAAGCGATAGAATCGGTGGAATGCTAGATAGACATTGCCTTCGGTGGAAAGTGATTTTATTGTCGTTGATACAAAACGGTCCTTTACCGTTGCTTGTGGAGGTGTTGACGATCCAGCCGTACGCGTGCAGGCAACAGAGGCAGTGTTCCAATATTTACTCGATCTCACCTTAGGGTGAAGGAAAAGGTTCTGTAGATTGCATGAA